TTTATTTCACTTAGCATTATGTTCTCCAGGTCCATCCATGATGTCACAAAAGGTAGGATTACCTCTTTTTTTTACAACCAAGTAGTGTTCCATTGTGTAAATGTACCACAGCATTTTTATCTACTCACCCACTGATAGACACTTGAGCTACTTTCAAATCTTGGCAGTTTAAATAACGCTGCAATGTACATAGGGATGCATATATTCTTTCAAATTAGTGTTTTGGGTTTCTTCGGATAAATTCCCAGAAGTGGACTTGCTGGGTCATAATGCAATTCCATTTTTAATTTTTTGAGGAAATTCCGTACTGTTTTCCACAGTGTTTGCCCCAGTCTACTAGTACATTTCCACCAGCAGTGTATAAGGGTTTCCTTTTCTCTACATCCTCACCAACACTTGTGTGTTGATTTATTGATGAGTCATTCTGGCAGGTGTGAGGTGATGTCTCATTGTGGTTTTTATTTTGCATTTCTCTGATGATTAGTGATGTGGAGTACATTTTCATATGTTTATTAGCCATCTGTATGTCCTCTTTGAAGAACCATCTATTCACGTCTTTTGCCCATTTTTTAATTGTACTATTTGTTTTTTAGGTGTTAAGTTGTATGAGTTCCTGGTTCATAGGTCTTTTGCCCATTTTTTAATTGTACTATTTGTTTTTTAGGTGTTAAGTTGTATGAGTTCCTGGTTCATAGGTCGATGCTCAACCACTGAGCCATACTGGCTGGGTACCAATGCTGAGTTTCGTTTGTTTGTTTGTTTTGTTTTGTTTAAATATATTTTTATTGATTTTTTACAGAGAGGAAGGGAGAGGGATAGAGAGTTAGAAATATCAATGAGAGAGAAACATCCATCAGCTGCCTCCTGCACACCCCCCACTGGGGATGTGCCTGCAACCAAGGTACATGCCCTTGAACGGAATCGAACCTGGGACCCTTCAGTCCGCAGGCCGACGCTCTATCCACTGAGCCAAACCAGTTAGGGCCTGAGTTTTTATTTTAAAGGAATGTTGAATTTTATCAAATGCTTTTTTTGGTGCATCTATTGATATGATGATATGATTTTTATCCTTCATTTTGTTTATGTGGTGTATCACATTGTTTTGCAGATACTGAACGGGCCTGTGTCCCAGGAATAAATCCCACTTAATCAGGCTGAATAATCTTTTTAATATATTGCTGAATTCAGTTTGCTAATATTATGTTGAGGACTTTTGCATCCATGTTCATCAGGGATATTGGCCTATAATTTTCTTTCTTTGTAATATCTTTATCTGGTTTTGGTAATAGAGTAATGCTGGCCTCATAAAAAGAGTTTGAAAGCCTTCCCTCCTCTTCAGTTTTTTTTTAATAGTTTGATATAGATAGGTGTTAATTCTTGAAAGTTTGGTAAATTTTGCTTGTGAAGCCATCTGGTCCAGGACTTTGGTTGGTTGGGAGTTTTTTGATAACCAATACAATTTTGTTAGCAGTTGTCTGTTTCTTCCTGGTTTAGTCTTGGAAGGTTGTATGTTTCTAGGAATTTATCCATTTCCTCCAAGTTGTCCAATTTGTTGGCATATAATTGTTCATAGTATTTTCTTATAGTCCTTTGTATTTCTGTGGTATTGGTTGTCATTTCTCCTCTCTCATTTATTTTATTTGGGTCCTCTTTTCTTTCTGATGATTCTAGCTAAAGGTTTATCTATTTTGTTTGTCTGTTCAGTGAACCAACTCTTGGTTTCATTGATCTTTTCTATTATTATTTTTAGATTCTGTTTTGTTTATTTCCACTCTGATTTTTATTATTTCCTTTCTTCTACTCACTTTGGGGTTTGTTCTTTTTCTAGTTCCTTTAGGTGTAAGAGTAGATACTTTATTTGAAATTGTTCTTATTCTTCAAGGTAGGCCTGTATTGCTCTGACTTTCCCTCTTAGAACTGCTTTGGCCATGTCTCATAAATTTTGGGTAATTGTGTTTTCATTTTCTTTTGTCTTAATGTACATTTTGATTTCTTCCTTGATCTCATTGATAACCCATTCATTGTTTAGTAGCATGTTATTTAACCTCCACATGTTTGTGTGTTTTTCAGTTCTCTTCTTGTAATTGGTTTCTAGTTCATACCATTGTGTTCAGAAAAGTTGCTTCTTAAACTTACTGATACTTATTTTGTGGTCTAATATTTGATATCCTGGAAAATATTCCATGTGCACTTGAAAAGAATGTATTTTCTGCTACTTTGGGGTGAGATGTTCTAAAATTATCAATTAAGTCTATCTGGTCTAATGTATCATTTAAGGCCACTGTTTCATTTTTTTAAATGTTTTTATTATTGACTTTAGAGAGAGAGATAGAAATACTGATGAGCTGCCTCCTGCAAGCCCCTACTGGGGACCAAGCCCACAACCCAGGCATGTGCTCTGAGCAGGAATCGAACCAGTGACCTCCTGGTGCATGGGTCAATGCTCAACCATTGAGCCACACTGGCTGGGCATACACTGTTTCCTTTTTGATTTTCTGTCTGAATGATCTACTCATTGATCTTTACAGAGTGTTAAAGTACCCTACTATTATTATATTATTGTTGATCTCTCTCTTTATGTCCATTGATATATATCTAGGTGCTCCTACATTGTGTACATAGATGTTTACAAGAGTTATATCCTCTTGTTAGATTGATCCCTTTATCATTATGAAATGCCCTTCTTTGTGACAACTTTTGTTTTATAGTCTACATTGTATTATATAAGTATAGCTACCCAGCTTTTTAAAAATTTCCATTTGCATGAAATACGTTTTTTGTCCCTTTACTTTCAGTCTGTATGTCTTTCAGTCTGAAGGGGGTCTCTTATAGGCAGCATATGTATGGGATATATATATATTTCAGAGAGGGAAGGCAAGGGAGAGAGAGATAGAAACATCAGTAATGAGAGAGAATCATTGATAGGCTGCCTCCTGCACACCCCCTCTTGGGGATCGAGCCTGCAACCTGGGCATGTGCCCTTGACCAGAATTGAACCCAGGGCCCTTCAGTCCACTGGCCAATGCTCTATCCACTGAGCCAAACTGCCTAGGGCAAGGGTCTTGTTTTTTTTATCCATTCAGCCACCCTATGTCTTTTGATATAAGCATTTAATTCATTTACATTTAAAATAATTATTGATAGTTATTGCCAACTAGGTGTTTTCTGATTGTTTTTATAGTTCTTTTCTGTTCCTTATTCTCTGCTCTCTTCTCTTGTATGTTGACTCTTTATATGGTTATCTTGGATTCTTTTCTCTTTATTTCTTGTTTACCTCTTGGTGATTTTTGGTTTGTGATTACCATGTGCTTCATATGTACCACATTATATTTATACAGTATGTTTTAAGTTAATGGTCACTTAAGTTTGAACACATTTTAAAATCCCTACAATTTTTACTCCACATTTGTTTTTGTCATTCTCTTATACTTATTTTGTGTGTAACTCTTAATTTATTGTTGTAATTACACATTATCTTCTTACTTTTGCTCTTTAACCTTTGTAGTAGCTTTATAGTAGGTTGATTCACTGCTTTTACTGTTTGCCTTTGTCAGTGAGAATTTTTTTTGTTCTTACATTTCCTCATATTTTTTATCTTTTCTTCTTAAAGAAATCCCTTTAACATTTCTTGTAATATTAGTTTAGTGGTGATGAACTCCTTTAGCTTTTTCTTAGCTGGTTCATAACTTCTTATATGTACAGCTTTTTTTGAAGGTCAGTCCTTCTTGGGGGAATAATATGGACATGATAGTACTTTCTCATAGAGTGTTGTTCATGTCAACACCAAGACCCTTTCTCATTGAAACCCTTCCCCTCAGATACATTAGGTCTTTATTTAGTAACTAGAGGCCCAGTGCACGAATTCGTGCACAGTTGCAATCTGGCCGGCCTGCCCCAATGGGGGACCATTGGGCCGGGCCAGTGGTTGGCTAGCCGGCCCTGCCCCCAGTCGGTGTTTTGGGGGCCGATTGGGCTTGGATCAGGCTAGTTGGCTGCCGCAGTGCGCTTCATAGCCACCAGTCATACTGGTTGTTCTGGTCGTTCCACTGTTCTGGTTGCTGGGCTTTTATATATATACTTTTTACTCATACCAAAAGCGTTCATAGTAAAGAAAAACATCTTTTTACTAGACTTATACATAAACATAAAAACACTTCTGAAATCAACATTTAACTAAAGGTATCTCTAAATGTAGTAATAAAAGTTAGCATATACTGAGCCCTTGTGGGGTGCCAGGTAAGTTAAAGGCACTTTAAATTTGTAATCTCATGTAATTTGTTTTTTGGTGACCTCATAAAGAAAGCGTTATCCTCTCTCATAAGTGAGCGAGTTGAGGCTTATAGAAATGACTTGCCTAAGGTCATACAGTAAGTTAGTGTCAGAACTAGTATTCCAATTTACTTCTGACTCAACAAAGCTTATGGCTGCCTTCCACAAGATCCCATTTCTTCCCTCTAGGTATGAGTTGGATCAGAACCACCAGTAGTAGAATCACAATACTGCTATAGAAATGTTAGAGTTCACCTCTTCCAAAAAGTAGTAGACCAACCTTGCAACCCCATAGGTAGCTACCAGCTTTATAATGAGACAGGGAAATGACATGATTTTTCCTGTATAATACATCTCCCACTACCACCACAAAGAAGGGCCATCTTTGCTGACTATACTTACTAGTAGTGATGAACATGGGAAGGCAAGGTTGGATGGAGCTACATTTCTCTGCATAGTAAAGGCAAAGAGCAATCACGAAGCCCTAAAGGAAGCTGATCGGTACGGGAAATTAGAGACCACACTGGGGAAAGGTTCCATAGAGAGGTCAGCCTGGGCGCTGGCACCAGGGGACTTTAGCAGGACCTGCCCATTAATGTTCACTAAATTCTCTCTCACTAATAGCATGTGTTTTCTTCAAAGGAATGAAGGAAGCACCACATCCTACTTCACTGTTGAACAACTTCAGAGGCTGCCCATGGATGTTACCAACCTTATCTTTTATTTCTCAGGCAACCTCAGAACCTGTTCTGGATCCACAGCAAATCCAAGCATTTGATCGGCTTTGTCGTCTCTACCGAGGAAGTTCCAGGGTAATGTTTGTGTGGTTGTTCAAATTTCTATTTCCTTATTTATAATTACTATTTTGGAAATGCAGAGTCCTCAAGTCCTCGCTCCAGCCTCCTCCTTAGTCTGAAAAGTGCCCTATTATGGCCACACGGAGCCATGAGAATTTGGCAAGGGATGCAAAGGAAGTGGAAAGATATCTGTACCTTACTTACCATGGGCTGTGAGGACACGGAAAGGCATCTGTGTTTCCTAATCCTTCATCTGGGAGGCCTTTCCTTATATTGATGACTGTCAAATCTGCCCAAAGCCTCAGGCCCTGGTGGACATCAGCATTGGTTGCATTTGCTATGTTATAGTGGCTTAACCAAGATAAAAGTGTAAGTGCAGGCAGCCTGGCACCTTCCATAACCCTCTCTCCGGATTTCTTCTATCTTGTGGCTCCACCATCCTTAACATCTGGCTTATGATGGTTGCTCCAGCTCCACCAATTACATCTGCATCCTGGCCAGTAAGATGGAGGAAAAGGAGGAAGAACAAAAGCCCTTTGTTTAACCACAGTTCCTATAAGTTATATAAACCACTTACCACCCATTGTCAGAACTTAGACACATGATCACACACCTAACTGCACTGCAGAGTGGAGAAATTGTCTTTATTACAAAAGGCCATGGGCTAAAACTACTGGTATCCTATAACCACAGAAGAGGGATACAGATTTGGAGATCTGCTAGCAGTTATGCCATAACACCCGTCTGGGTGTTGCAGAAGCACTTCAGAAGTGTACTCATTAACGTTCCCAACCTGTTCTTCCTGGTGCTCCTCTGGGTGGTGCCTTCTCTCATCCAGGCCGAGAGCAGGGCAGTACCCTCGGCTTATCTCTCCCATTCCAGCCACTCACTAGGGAGATCCTGTAGACGTCTTCTCTACATCTCCTGTGTATTTCTCCCCTTTCCCTCCCAACTGTCACTCACAGAAGCCACTGCAGACCTTCTGTCCCTTCTCCATGCTGCTGCCTGGGTAATCTTTCCAAACCCAAATGTCATGTTACCCCCCTTACTTAACACCCTTTCCTGGATCTCCATCACCTGAAGGTGGAGTCCAAACTCTATCACCTCCTCCAGTCCCGAAGTCACACCTGATTCCAGCTGGGCCGATTTGTCCTGAGCTTGTACAGACTGCTCATGTGCTCTGTTGGACTCCCTTCTCCCACTCCCCATTCTTAGGCAAACACCTGCTAGGTTGCATGGAAGCCCAGAGGAAGAATGATGTTCCATTTTTGAGAGGTGGTGTGGGCAGAGGTTTTTGTTCCAGGAGACTTCAGGGGTTATTTAACTGGCATTACCTCTGTCCCTTCCCAGCCTCATCCAAGCTCTGCCCAGGAGTTGGGTTTCTGGCCTTCTAAGGAAGTTCTGCTGCTTCAAACTGGACACATCGATTTCCAGATCACTAAATTACAACAGTAGAACACAAAATATCTCTTTCCTGGGAAACAGAAGTAGTTAACTTTCTACCCCACAGTGTCTGACTGTGAAAGAACTTGGAGTTTATGTAGCATCTGTTGCCTGCTCTGTTCTCAACACTGTAGAAAGTTCTTGTGGAGAACTTCACAGACTGATGGGCAGCTGAGGGGCTTACAGAAGACAGGAAGTCACAAGGTGGAGCTCGAGCAGAACAAGGGACGTCTCTCTGTAACCTTTGTGGTGGCAGTGAAGTTCCTGGCAGGACTGCTTAAGCAAGCGTACCCCCTGCTTTCATTGGCCATCTAAGTAACTTGCAGTCAGAGCCAGTGTTATGAATTGTGAATTGGATCATATGCATGTCCTGAGCCAGAAGCTGGATTATTTTAGATAAATTGGCACTTTAAACTTAGGAGCCTTCAGATGTCTCCCCAATTACCACAACCACTGGTAGTGAGTTATTAATAAAAGTGATTGCCTGAGTGGAGAGAACCCCTTACCAGAGGTCCGGAAACAGCTAGAACAGAGTTTCTGGCAGGTTATGTGAATAGGAAACAGCTGACAGACATTATCTTCAGGGGAGGCAGACCATGGGCAGCTCAGATGCTGCATGGACCTGAGTTTGAATCCCACACTTCCACTCACTGCTGAGTAACTCAGGGCAAGTTACTTAACTTCTCAGGGCCCTGGGTTTTTTACACCCAGAGGGTTGTAGAGGATAAGAAATAACAGCCACATGAGGCAGGTCCAAGATAGCAGCATAGTGGATGCTGAGCTCACCCCCTCCCAAGAACACATTGAATGTACACCTGTATTTAGAGCAGTTCCTCCTGGGAGAACACTGGGAACCAACTGAATAGCTTCTGTGCAATAAGCAAAAAAAAGAGGTGGGGAGGGGAACCTCATAGAAAAGGTCGGGAAGCTCTCCAGGAGCTGAGGAACAACCCAGGACCGGAGGAACCAGTGAGGCCAATGTTTGGTTCCCGTGAACCTGGATAGCGGGCAGGAGCTCATCCAGGTTCTGTGGCCGACCTACAGGGCACTCTGGCGAGTTCCCAGCCACCCCTCCTGGAGCTGGATCCAGCAGGAACCATACACACAAGGGGTCCTTCCACCTGGAGGTTGACCAAGCAGGTACAGCAGTGTGCTGCTTCATGCACCCACTTGGCTGTGCACACAAGGGGCTCCTCACATGAAGAGAATGCAGAGCTAACAAAACATTGTGGTACCTGCCTCTAGGGCTCCCCTGTTTAGAGAAAGTGCACAGATAATGGGTCACTGCTGCATGCACACGTGGGGCCACCCCACCAAAGAAAATGTGGAACCAGCAAAACTTTGTGGTACCACACACAGGGCTGCCGCATATGGAGTGAGTTGGGTGTGCATGCACAGCCCTGCTGTGAACATAGACAGTAAAAGCAACAGGGCACAGTAAGCACATCTCACAGCCCTGTCTAAATCAGGCAGCCACACCCAGATTAGAAGGGCAAGGAAGTATGCACACACCAGTTGCCCCACCTCAAACCCACTCATTCAGGCCAGGTGACACATAGGGTCTGGCACATGCCCACCCTGATTACAACCAGCTGCCAAAACCGTTCAACACAGTCACCAGACCACTCTTTCAAGACTGGGAGGGACAGTTACTCATTGCAACTCATAGGAACAAACACAAAAGTCAAAGAAGAATATGTCCAAATGAAGGAACAAGAAGAAACGCCAGAGAAAAACCCTAAAGCAATGGAAATAAGTAATTTGCCTGATAAAGAATTTAAAGAATCTGTCATAGGATGCTCAACAACGTTGAGAGTACAATAGAGGAATTCAAAGAGTACTTCAACAAAAAGATAGAAAATGTAATAAAAAAAAATCAGAAATGAAGTATAAAATAACTGAAATGAAGACTACATCAGAAGGAATCAACAGCAAATTAGTTAATGCAGAACAGTTTAGTGACCTGGAAGACAGAATAATAGAAATCACCCAATCAGAACAGCAAAGTGAAAAAAAAAATTTTAAATGCGGATAGTATAAGAGATCTCTGAGATAACATCAAGCAACCTAACATTTGCATTATAGAGATTCCAGAAGGAGAAGAAAGAGAAAGGGGTAGAAAGAATATTTGAATAATGTCTGAAAGCTCTCCTAATCTGGGGAAGGAAACAGACATCCAAACATAGGGTTCCAAACAAGATGAACCAAAGAGACCCACACCCAGGCATATTGGATTAAAATGGCTAAAGTTAAGGATAAAGACAATCTTAAAGGCAGCAAAAATGAAACATCAAGTAAGTGAAACCCCATAAGGCTATCAGCTAATTTCTCAGAAGCAACTTTAGAGGCCAGACAGGAGTGGTAGGACATATTTAAAGTGCTCAAAGGAAGGAATCTACAACCTAGAATACTACATCCAGCAGGGTTAGCGTTTAGAATTGGAGTGAGTTTTCCAGACATGCAAAAACTAAAGGAGTTCACCACCACTAAACTAGCCTTACAAGAAATGTTAAAGGGTCTTCTTTATGCAGAAAAGAAAAGGTTGTAACCAAAAATAAGAAAATACAGGGGGAAAATATCGGAAAGGCAAAAATACAATAATCACAGTGAATCAACCACTTTAAAAAGCTAATAGGAAGGTTAAAAGACAATAGTAGAATAATTAATAACTACAATAAAGAATCGGGATACACAAAACAAAAAGATATAAGACATGATGTCAAAAACAAAGGTGGAGGGAGGAGAAATAATGTACTGCTTTTAGAATGCAATTGAACTCAAATGCCTGTCAGCTTGAAATAGAGACTGCTAGAGATATAGATACATATGTACCTCATGGTAACCATAAACCAAAAATGAAGAGAAAAGAACAGTGAAGAACAAAAACCACTAAAAATAAATTAACAAATTGGCAGTGAGCACATACCTATCAATAATTACTGTAAATGTAAATGGAGTAAATGCTCCAAATAAAAGACAGAAGTAGCTGAATGGATTAAAGGGGGAGGAAAATGATCTGGGTACTAGTATATGCTGCAAACAAAAGACTCACTTTAGAGTGAAAGAAAGTGAAGGGATGAAAAAAAGATTCCATGCAAATAGAAACAAACGAAAGCTGGGGTAGCAATACTGGCATCAGACCAAATACACTTCGAGACAAAGGAGGACATTACATAATTTTAAAGGGGTTCAATATAAGATGGGGATATAACAATTGTAAATACCTATGTACCCAACTTAGGAATACCCACATATATAAAGCAATTCTTAATAGACATAAAGGCAGAAGTTAACTACTACCCAGACAAAATTAAAAGGAAATAATGGCCTTAATGCCACATTGGACCAGTTCAACCTGATAGACATTTATAGAGCACTTTATCCAAATACAATAGGTTACACTATTTTTTCAAGTACACATGGAACATTTTCCAGGATAGATCACATACTAGGCCACAAAACAAGCCTCAATAAATTCAAGAAGATTGGAATTATATCAAGCATATTTTCTGGCCACAGTGGCATGAAATTAGAAATCAACTTCAGGGAAAACACACACACACACACACACACACACACACACACACACACACACACAAATACACGGAGATTAAACAACATGCTTCTAAACAACCAATGGATCGGAGAGGAAATCAAAAACTACCTTAAGACAAATGAAAACGTAACCTTATAGGAAAAGCAGTTATAAAAGGAAAGTTTATAGCCATGCAGACCTATCTCAACATGAAGGAAAAATCCCAAATAAACAATCTAAATCTACACCTAAGGAAACTAGAAAAAAGGGGAACAAACAAAACCCAAAGTAAGGCCCTAACCGGTTTGGCTCAGTGGATAGAGCGTCGGCCTGCAGACTCAAGGGTCCCGGGTTTGATTCCGGTCAAGGGCATGTACCTTGGATGCGGCACATCCCCAGTAGGGAGTGTGCAGGAGGCAGCTGATCGATGTTTCTCTCTCATCGATGTTTCTAACTCTCTATCCGTCTCCCTTCCTCTCTGTAAAAAATCAAAAAAATATATTTAAAAAAAAAAACAACCAAAGTAAGTAGAAGGAAGGAAATAATAAAGATCAGAGTGGAAATAAATGAAATAGAAAATAGAAGAACAATAGAAAAGATAAATGAAATTAAGAGCTGGTTCTTTGAAAGAATAAAATTGGCAAGCCTCTAACAAGACTCACCAAGCTAAAAAGAGAATACAGCATATCAGAAATGAAAGAGAAGTTAGAACTGACACCATGAAATACAAAGTCACTAAAGAATACTATGAACAATTATATGTCAACAAACCGGACAATCTAGAAGAAATGAATAAATTTCTAGAAACACAACCTTCCAGAGTAAACCAGGAAGACACAGAATCTGAACAGACCAGTGCTAGCAATGAATTTGAAGTAGTAATAAAAACTCCCAACAAACAAAAGCACAGGACCAGATGGCTCCGCAGTGAAATCTACCAGACATTTAAAGAAGACTTCCAACTGTCCTCCTCAAATAAACAGGACATGAAAAGACATTTCTCCAAAGAAACATACAGATGGCCAAGAGACTTATGAAAAGATGCTCAACATCACGAGTCATCAGGGAAATGCAAAACAAAACAATGAGATACTACCTCCTACCTATCAGCATGGCTTTCATCAAAAAGTCAACTGTTGTGTTGTAAGGATGTGGAGGAAAGGAAACCCTTATACACTGTTGGTGGAACTGCAAACTGGTGCAGTCGCTGTGGAAAACAGCAAAATAGAAGTACCATGTGACCCAGCAAGTCCACTTCTGGGTATTGATCTGAAGAAAACAATACTAATTCAACAAATACATGCATCCTTGTGTTCATTAAAGCATTATTTATAATAGCCAGGATATGGAAGCAACCTAGGTGTCTATCAATACATGAACGGATAATGAAGAAGTGGTATATACAATAAAATATACACAATGGAATATTGGGCAATAAAAACATGAAGTCTTACTATTTGTGACAGCGTGAATGGACCCAGAGAGTATTAGGCTAAGTAAAATAGGTTTGACAGAGAAAGACAAATAAATACCATATGATTTCACTTAGATGTGGAATCTAAAAAAAAAACCATAGCAAACAAAACAAAAAACAGACTCATAGAAACAAAGAAGGGATGGTTGCCAGAGGGGAGCAGGTGGGGGAGGGGTGATAAAGGTGAAGGGGAATATAGTCAATGACACTAATAAGTTTGCACTATAATTAGTGGAGTGATCACATTGTAAGGTATAAAAATGTCAAATCACTATACTATACACCTGAGACTAATATAATTAATATTGTATACCAACTGTACTTAAATTTAAAAACAGTTTTTTAGAAATAATGCACATATCAAGGACCTCGCATAGTGCCTGGCACCTAGAGGGCACTCACGTTACCTGGGGCTGTCAGAAGCCCCTACAGCAGCGGTTCTCAACCTGTGGGTCGCGATCCCTTTGGCGGTCGAACGACCCTTTCACAGGGGTCGCCTAAGACCATCCTGCATATCAGATATTTACATTACGATTCATAACAGTAGCAACATTACAGTTATGAAGTAGCAACGAAAATAATTTTATGGTTGGGTCACAACATGAGGAACTGTATTTAAAGGGCCAGAAGGTTGAGAACCACTGCCCTACAGACTTCGGCGTGGGTCACCCTGTGGTGGCTCACTCCTCACAGCTGCCCTCTCCAGGGGCAGGACCTTGGGAGTGGAATTCATATGTCCTCTGACCAGCCAGGGCATCTCGACGGCCAGGCCATGAAGCTCCTTACTCTTACAGAGGCCTCTTTGAGGCAAAAGGGATGACCCCTCTGAGTAGCACGGCCTGGTTTCCCAATGGGCTGGCATTAACCTTTCCTCCTGCCACTCTGTCCTTGGCAGGTCTTCCAGAACTGAGCCACTAACTGCTTTGTACTGGTGTCACTGCGGACACAGGGAAGCTGGGAGCAGGCAGGGCTCTTAGAGGAGCCGGTAGTCTCTGAGTCTGCCCTGGAGACTTCTCACAGGGGAGTGGGACGTAGCAGCTGGGCACCCATTGAAGCTGTCCAGGTTACAGAAGAGCAGTCAGAGCCAGTGATCTTCGTGCAGGGCCATTCCCCAGAGAACTGACCAGGACGGAGCACAGGGAGATGAGCAGAGAGGAGAACCTCAGGGTCAGGACCAACTCAAGGAGGAGGACTCAGCGCTGATGGTTAGAATCCGTCAGCTTTCCATTATCAGAGAGCAGCACAGTCTGATGTGTCTACGGGATGGACCCAGTCCACTCAGTAAAGGAGGGGATTTAGGTCCTAAAGATTACGTGAACTAGTGCACAGTCACATTACTTGTTTGTAGACGCAGAACTGGGATCCAAACCAGTATATTCTTCCCGCAGTGCAGCCCCGCCCCTCACGTACTCAGGATCCCCCACCCACATCCAACCGCCCCACACATTCTCCGCCCCCACAGCCTTGGTTGATGTGTGTCCGCTCCTTTGCAGCTGGCGCTCCTTACAGAACTCTCCCAGAGCCGCGGCAGCGAGAGCTACAGGCCATTCAGTGGTTCCCAGAGTGGCCCTGCTTCCCACAGCATCTTCCAGAACGAGAACTTCCAGCTGCAGCTCATTCCCCCGCCTGTGACTGAGGACTGACGCCTCTCTGGGGCCTAGCCCTGAAGACCAGAGGTGACCCCGAGGCAACTGGGTGACCCCCTTGACTGGCTTGACCCCCCGCTGCCACCCACACTCCTAAGCAGTGGATCCGAGGTGGAGGCTTTCTCATGCCCACCAGCCCAGGGAGACTCCCTCCTGTCTCTTCCATGATGTTGCTGCAGCATCAGTTCACCAGACTGGTTGGTTGTGTTTTGCCTGGAATGTCACATACCTCCATCCAGCTTTTTGAGAAAATGCGCTTGACCTGTTGGGACATTTTCCTGTCTCCCCAGAAGCCCGGAGAATAGGTGGAGCTCACGCAGAAGGCACTCGGGAGTCTGTGGTCCTCGTCTCCTCCAGCCGGCGGGGAACCTGGAGGGACTTCGGCTCCTGCTGCTGTTGGGAGGAAGGGACAGTGTGGGCCAGGCTGCAGCATAGCTGAGACTTGCACTGGAGGGAGCCAAGGACTTGCGGGCCAGGCATCTCCCTTTTGATGTGTTTATGTTAAAACCCATTTGAGTGTAAGATTTTCCCTTTCTAACAATAAATGCTCTGTGTTTAAGCTCTGCAGGCCTGCTGGCTGGCTGTCTAGCTCTCTAGCTCTCAGCCTGTCAAGCCATAAAGGACATTTAGTACCACAATTCGTGTATTAAAGTCAAGGACCTTGATTGTGACACACCACCTTTATTCAAATAAGCGGCTGCCTCACGACTCATTCAGAGCAGCCAAGTGCTCCGGGGATGGGGGCCAGCTGCCAGAGCAGCATTTGTACCTTTCTTGGCCCTGGGACTTTGCAGCCACTGAACCAACAATGGCAGGAGGTCACGCAGATTAGGTGCTCCCTCTTCGGCAGTCGGCTCAGGGAGGTGCCCCTGAAATACCAGCTTGGCTTTTATTATACAGGCATACCTCATTTTACTGCACTTCCCTGTATTGCACTTCACAGGTTTTGTATTTTTTACAAATTAAAGGCAAAACCCTCCCGACTAAGAGATTACAACCTGCTCAATTGTAATACTCCATGTCAGTGCTCTGGAACCAAGCCGGCGATCCCTCCAACCTGTCCCTCCCAAAACCTGGCTGCGCCTGTTGCTGCTGCCTCTGGACGGAGGTGTGCGAGGCCACCCTGGAGGAAGGGGCTGAGCATTAAGTGACCACCAACTGGATGCTGGTTGCAGCTACACCAGATAGTCTCAACCCCATTTTACAGATGAGAAAGCTGAGGCTCAGACATGATAAGTAAGTTAACCAGGGTGACACACTCAAGAAACGGCAGAGCAGGGGTCTGAACTCAAAACTGGTTCCAGAGCCAAGATGTTACTCCCTAGATTACAGACAGAAGGTTTCTTGATGAGCTTAAGTTAAGGCCAAAGGAGTTTGATATTCTCAAAGCAAACTTGGTGGTTTTTTCTTTATTCTATAAAGAGCCAAAGCAGTTTACTAGCAGAGTATCAGAGCCTCTGCTCAAATCAGGGCCAGTCAACATCAACCAGTTACTCCTCCAGCCCGTCTCCTTCATCAGGTCCAAAGAGTTCTTTCGCTTGCCATTCAGTCACAGCACCACGGAATACATTACAGCAGCTCTGCATGCAGGTCATGTCATGCCTGCCCAGGAAGACACTCGGCTGGATTTGAAGAGTTTTCCTGTCTCACCCAAGGGTAGGTGAGAAACCGACGCTAAGTGCTGGGCCCTGGCGATGCGCAGGCCTGAGCTGAGCCCCAGTCCCTGCCATTGACAGCCCTGTCACTGCCCGACCCCTCGCGCACTAAGCACGCATTCTAGTCTGCAGTCAGTGGCGTCGGGTCCCGCTTCCAAGCAGTTCCTTAGGGGCAAAGACTGATCTGGAAATATTTCTAGACTCAGCAACAGCAGCGGTTCTGCTGACAGCGCGTGGAGCTTAGTGAGGGAGCAGGCGCTCTGGGCCTGCGCCAGCCCCACTGCTGAGCTCCAGCTGCTTTTCCAGGCCTTGTGCTGGCCCCTTGGCTGTGGCATGTGGTAAAAGGAAGGATCTGGGGGAGGGAGGTCCCAGAGGCCTTCAGCTACCATTTTAAAAGGACAGGTACCTGGTCTGAATGTCCCTCTCATGCTGGAGGAGGGAGGGGTGGGGAGGATCCTCTGAAAGGAAATCAGGCCCTGACAGGAGAGGGGAGTGGATGCTGGTGGCCAAACAGCAGTGTCATCACAGCTTTGTCACCTGGTAAAGTTAGTACCTGAATGGACAACCTGAGAACATGGCTACTCCCAGCTCCAGCCGAATGCCCCCGCCTGCCCTCCCCCGCCCCACACACACACTCAGCACTTGCCCTCCCTCCAGCCACCAGGAGCAGAGTGGCACCCAGTTCTGCACCAGAGGCAGAATGGACTGGGGAAGGAGCCCAGGTTCCAGGAACAGCCCCACCGCTGGCCACGTGTGAGCTGAGAAGGGCCGTTTGCTCTTCTGAAAAATGAGGATAGTAAAAGCGATCTGCTCCAAGTCAGTGGTTCTCAACCTTCCTAATGTCGCGACCCTTTAATACAGTTCCTCATGTTGTGGTGACCCCCAACCATACAATTATTTTCGTTGCTACTTCATAACTGTAATTTTGCTACTGTTATGAATCATAATGTAAATATCTGATATGCAGGATGTATTTTCATTGTTACAAATTGAACATAATTAAAGCATAGTGATTAATCACAAAAACAATATGTAATTATATATGTGTTTTCCGATGGATGGTCTTAGGCGACCCCTGTGAAAGGGTCGTTCGACCCCCAAAGGGGTCGCGACCCACAGGTTGAGAACCGCTGGTCTAAGTGAAGTCCAAGTGACATGTGGGAAGATGCTTTACAAAGTAACGAACAACATCCAGGGCCTTGGGGAAGGGGGAGGGAGGTATCTGTGGAAGAGGAAAGCCGACAGGGGCCCCATCAATGATGAATGCTTAGTGAATAAATAATTCAGAGGTTGGGGATGCTCTTAGGAGCCATATGCTCCTACTCGGCTCTGCCCTGTCAAAGTGTTTTCCATCGGTGCCTCTCCAGAGCAGATGCCTGTGATGTGCCCAGGGAGACAGGAAGGGCTCCTGAGGTGGTGTCCTCGGGCAGCCGGGCCACCTTCAGGACGCCAGGGAGTCTGAGCCCGGCTGAGCTCCCAGAGGGCACCCCTCCCCCCTGGGGCGTCCTGGCCGTCTTTCTCCACCAGCCTCCTCCACACCCCAATGCTGTGAAGCCTTCCCCAGCTACCGACGGACAGTCTGACTCACCTTATTCCCATAGGTGGGTGTCTTCCTGTCTGTCTCCTACACTCCTAAGGTCAGGATTATGTTCTGTCCACTCCATGTCCTCCAAAGCACAGTGCTTAAAACAGAATAGGTATCACCACATTTTCTTTAAAATCTTTATCGTTTTACAGTAAACTTGATGAACAGAAATGTTCACAAACCATATGTATACAGCTGGATCAATTCACGAAGTGAACTCACCTATATAACCAGCACCCAGATCAAACAAAGAGAAATGACCAGCACCCGAATGGTCTCCATAAATTCTCTGTTCATCATGCCCCATCCCCCACACAGTTAAACACCATCCTGACTTCTACCAGCAAAAACAGCTTTGCGGCGGCTGGTCTCCTTCTAAGGTGGATCTAGGTGTGCAAGGGAGCCTCAGGTGTGGGGAGGGGAGAGAGATGGGTGAAGGGAGAGGCCTGGGCGGACAGGACAGGGTTTACTGCACAGGCTCGAGTTGAGGGAGTAACTGGGTTTGGAATCAGTAGCAGTTTGGGGCTCTGCTACTTACCTGCCATGTATGACTGACCTACCTGTCTTTACAGTTGAATTAGCTCTTGGTTGCTTCAGCCATAAGCTCACAAAATTATCCCACTCTGTCTCCAGTGTCGCTGAGTATGGCAGACAAGTTTGGGCAAAGCTTGGTAAGTCTCCATTCAGACGTGTGGTGCTTCGCGGACCCATGATGCTGTGCTCTGTCATCTTGCAGTGACACTCCAGATCTCCTTCCTGGGTTAAGTCACCGGGGGTTTTGCAGTGGGTGACAGGCTGCATGTCACACAGGGCCAGACTGTCCCGCCTGGGCCCTAGCTCTGAGCTCTCCCATCTCCAAACCCACAGCAGAGCTTCAGGCTAGGGTCTGAGAAACAGTGAGAAACAAACCCTCTCCTCTCTCCAACCCACGGGCCAGCCTTTGAGCCATGGCTGGACATCTGGAATGGGGTCACTCCTCAGTAGAGGCCAGTCAGTTCAGGACACACACCCAGGCCAGCCTTTGCTCTGGCCCAGCAGGCACACGGGTGGCTAGATGCTGCCCACACTGGTGGGCTCTCCTTTTCCATCCCACACACTCCACCTGCACTCACCCCCAGAGGACTCATCATGGCCAACATAACTGGGTTTGTTCCTGACTCTAAAAATAATAATATCAATTCATTTTAGGAAACTAGGAAAAGTCAAAAAGCAAACAGAAAAAAGGACCGTAAATGTCGAGGCATATTTACTTTGCCTTGCTTTTCATTTGTATTTCCACCAAACTCCCGTGTCTGCCTGGTTCCTGAAGGATTCCATTGGGCCTCCAGCTGCCCCTCCTTGAACCCTCCCCCGTCCCCCGTCCCCCCCAGTCCCAAGGGCCTGTCTGCCCCACAGTTCTGTGTCAGCACAGAACGGGGTGGCACTCCAAGGGTTAAAGGCATTACCAGTTCCCAGTGATCGAACTGTAACGAGGATGAGAGGCTAAATTAAAGTTTATTGCAGAATCAAAGTGTGTGTAGTCAGCAATTGTAAGAGGCTACAATGAAATGCCTTCTAGAACTTGGCAATACAATTATGTGGAGTTAAATTAGTAGAATGCACACCCAGTCGATGAGGTTAGCTGTGTGCAGAAGTCACTTTAAAAGACAAGTTATCTTTTGAGAGTGCAGAAAGAGCTAGCCCTGACTGCTAGTCAAGCTGGGATTCGACAGGGGAGAAATAGTGGCCTAATCCAAGCACTGAGATAACTGCAGAATGATGGTGTGTGAGGTGAGGGGGGAAGGTGGGGGAGGGGGGCTGTATGGAGCACAGAAGAGGGAGGGAGGAAGCCTGGCGAGCTGCCAGCCTGGGGCAAGGTGTTCGCTGGGTTAGGGATGGAATGGGACACCTGCTGCTCTCCCAGCTCATCAAGCTGCCACCTGACTCAGCCTCCTAGAACCTGGAGGGTGGGAAGGGTGCTACAGGAGTAGATCACACAGGCAAAGGGCCAAGACAGTGAGCTCTGGAGCCAAAGTGACTGGGTTCAAGTCCTGACTCCCACGACTCACAAGCGGTGCCACATGGGGCAAAAATATTTACTTCCTGAATCCTTTTCCTAGTGTGTGAAATGGGGATGCTGACCTCTCCCTCGGGGGTTGCTGTGAGGGTCACTCATAGACAGCAGTAAGGTAGGTGTTGAGCTATAATTATTAATAATACTAACAATGATATTACTATTGCTAACTAAAGGATTTACTTAGCAACCCCAGTGAGGTTGTGCAATAAAAGTCAACCCCAGAGTCGCTCTTTTCTGGGGGTGCTGAATGTAAAAACGGAGCTCCTGGGTTTGCCAGCCTGAGGCTTGGACTGAGCCTTGGTGACCATGAGGCTGCACCCCAAGGACCTGGGGTCGAACTGTGTACATGGCACGTGTGAACTGGATACACAGCTTGTAGCTTTGTGGGAAAGATACCCTGTTTGGGGGAGAATGTGAGTGTTATCTGCATAAACCCAATGTAGCCAGCAAGCAAGTCCTTACTGCAGAGGGTTCTCCGGCGACCCAGAGTGTGTGTTGTGGAGAACACTCGCCTGCACCTCTAAGTGGGATAATGATGTAAACCGCGTATTTCCCGGCACAATGGGAGCAGGCAATAACTAGAAAACGTCTCACGTTTTACAAACGCGAGTTTTGTTTTGTTTAGTTCACTGTATTGTTATTTAAATCAGAGCCTCTGGAAAGGGGGAACTGCAGGGAAAGAATATTCCAAACTCCAAATTATCAAACGTGTGCTGGTACAAAAAAAGTTACATTTATTTTACAAGGTAGTTATTTCCCTAAAGTATTATACATAAAGGAAAGTTGAGTTGTCTGTAAGAAAACAATATAATTTTAGGAAATTACAGAATGGTCAACATTGTGCTTAAAACTTTAAAATAGAGAGATTTTAAAAAATAGCACAGTAAGTGAATATTGTAAGGTATGAACACCCTAAAAAAGTGTATATGAACACAATGATATGCAAGCTCAGTATTAAACCTCCAGTGACGATCTGCCTTCAGACTGGTTCGGAATATTCAGAGAGCGCTGCGTCCATCTTAATAGAAAAAGGATCTCAAAGCACTGATCGAAACATGGCCCTTTCCTATACAGTCAGCTGTCAATTATCCATAATAATGAAAGGAGCTGGGACTTACAAAGTTTTTAAAATTCTAAAATTAATTTTGAGAAGTGTTCTTATACTTCTGCTTGGATGTGAGAAACACTGACATCCCTTGAAGCACAGAACTGATAAAGTGAGAACTCCCACTTCCTTCTCCCCTCCTCCATAAGGGCAAGACACGAGTCACATACTATTTTCTAAAAAGCTTCAAATACAACTGGCCTCCTTAATTCTGGTTCACAGCTCCTCTGGAGAGGGGAGTAGGAAAGAGGGCTGTTGAAATTGTGTTTCCCTCTTGTAGAAAGCCAAAATGTTTCAGTAAAATTTTGCAAACAAGATGGAATAATCAAGAGCTGACTGTATAAATATTATTTTATCTTATGCTTTTTTTCTTGCCTAGTGGTACTTATACTGCCAAATATATCTGGATATTTTGACAGCTTCCTAAATTATTTGGTTGCATCCTATTATCCAAATAGAGAAATTTGCATAAGAGGAGTTATGATCAATTCCAAAAGAACTGTGGCGTTTCAAAAAGGCTAGGAAGTGGAGGATAAGAAATAAAGCCCCACCCCCAAGACAGAATCAAATCCTAGATCAAATCCAAAAGGTACCTCAGGACAACCTCACAGTTTGGTTCTGGTCTTAGTGCTTTTAGTTTGTATAGTGTTACCTTGAACTATAAGTTTTTCCTTTCCAAGAAAGCAATGTTTTTTCTTCAGGGTTTCCCTCAAAATCTCTTTTCAAAGCTGGAAAATTACAAGGTAAAAAAAAAAAATCTAGATTTGATGGTAAAGCTGTATTTGTTCCTGTACCAACTACAACCACAAAACATTTTAACTGCTTTGTCATTTCTCAGAAAAGTTATGAGCATATCTGAAGATTCTAAAATAAATCTTGGTGTGATAAGAAAGCTGTATTCCACACAGCACTTACTTTGTATCTTCCTCCCAACAGCTTTTACACCAACTTTCAAAAAGTAGGAACGGGGCCAGGTTTCCTTCCACAAAAGCCCGAGAGAGCAGTTTCTCCGTCTGCACAGCACAGCCCTCTGCTCCAGGTGAGCACGCGGCCAGACCCAGATTATAAAGCGCTCACCTCTCTCAATGTACACGCAGTAACCGAAAGCGAACACATGACTGTTTCCAATGTCTATAATACACGTTGCGGCTAAGTATTCTCTAAAGTGCCTATAAATATGCTTATACAAAAGAGCAGTATAACATCAGGATTACAGAGAAATTCTTTTATATAACATAGAACAGAACAGGCCTAGAATTCAAGTCCAAACTACACATTTTTATGTCCTTATCAGTCGTTTTGGAATGCAAGCAGAAAGAAACAATTCTGGTTCAATCATATATGACTCTCCGGAGAATTACTAACACTGACAGTGCTAGGACAAAGGAAATCCTTGCTTGTGCTTGTTTAGGAAAGGTTCTTTTGAGATCCAGGAGCATCTTAATATTTAGAATCCAATGGAACATCTCCAATTCTATAAAACAGATAGTGGTAGGCGAAGCTGAGTGCGTTTTTAATTATAAAGAGATTGTGTAAATATTTAAAGTGATATCAACCGTTATTAAATCCAAAAATTTCATTAAAATCGTGGCTACTCTGAATGGCAGTTCAAGAGTTTTAAAAGTTATAGATATTATTGATAAAGGGCCCAATGCGGAACAGCCAGCCTCGGGAACGGCCCTGTGACCATGTATTTCCACGGCTTTAAAGGCCTGGTGGTTGACTTCAATTAGTTTAATGGACAGGAATGAGGAATGTGGGCCCAGAGTAGGGAACTTGGTAGGAACGGTGCCAAGAAAGAGGACCTTCATATGCATCCTGGGGAATTCAATGAGCTTACCCACAGCACTGGGGGGGGGAGGGGGGGACGGAGAGGAGGGTGCTATGTTGCTGTTACCACCGTGAGAACACAGCTGCTGACTGCACAGCTTCTATGCTCGCCTTCATCTGGCCACTCAGTCATGGAGGCACCATGAACCCCAGGAGGCTCAGCAGATGTCTGTCCCTGAGCCACCTGGGCTGGGCTGGCTGGGGGAGGGGGGAGGCGGGGGGGGAGGCCGGGAGCCCCTGTTCCTGGAGCTCCTCTCACCACCTTATCGGCTTGACTTATTGAGTCCTTACATTTCAGTAAGTGGAAACCTTACGCCATATTCTCATCTAGCTTAGAAAGCTTTAGCTAACACTGTTCTCAAAGGAATCTGCATACTGTAAACCCCATGGATGTTCGGGCACCTAAACCTAACGAGTGTTCTAGCCAATCACGTAAACTACACATACAACTAGGAAAGCAGATTTGCCTAAGGACTTGTGAAGGAAGTCAAGTGGAGGCTTCAGGGAAGAACACACGGGCCTCTTCTTATTTCTTAAGATAGACGAACATAATGCAGGAGAGCGGTGCCGTAATGCTGACAGAGCAGGAGGCAGGGCCACGAGGGCACAGTCCCGGACGGGTAGGACATCAGAAATAGTTTTCTGTCTCCAACTTGGATAGCTCTAGTGTCACTAGGCTGAATGTTAAATTTCCTGGATTCTTAACATGCCTCCCAGAGAGAAGCTTTGGAGAAACGGCAGATAACCAACTCACACAAGAACAGCTGGTATAAATGGAGATGGGAGGAGAATTCTGAAGAAAGCTAAATAAGGAAAAGTTATTCACTATTTTGTAGGTGAGAAAAGAGAACATGTACAACAGACCATTAATGTTACTGTAGTAAAGTGGATGAATATCACACAAAATATTTTCTCCTGACTTAGCAGTGAACTACTTCAACTGCGTTTGCATTTGCATAAAAACCCATGCATCATAATGAATTCTAATCCATTTCCCACCTAAGCCATTCTAATGCTTCATACAACCAAATGAAGCAGAATTCATCAAACCTATTAGATTCATTCCTAATCCCTAAAGGACTGCTGTCTTTAGCATTTCCATGCTAACTAAAACTATTACTGATAGTTTCTTAAGACATCAGATGTGGCTGCTTCCTAAATATAATACCTATATAACTTCCTAAAAGTTTTTCCCAGATTTGAAGAACAATTAAGAAAAGCAGGGAAATGTTGGGAAACCCACCCAAGAGACCATCTCAAATGCTACAACACATTCCCTAGCGACAAGCCAAGTACATCTCTCCTTCCCCTGGGTTCCCAGAGAATTCTGGGTAATGTTACCTGCATGTATTATCTTCACTCCTGGACTGTGGTTCCCCTCATGTGGGGAGTCGGGTCTTATTCATTCTGTATCCCCACAGCACCCTGCAGAGTGTAGGCACTCAGCTAAAGCTGGATTGAGCATGAAATTGAAGATGTCATCTCTTCTTAAATGAAGGTCTAGCTCAGCCCCAGATCATGGAGGGCTGTGCAGACACTGATCATAGCCAGGGGCTGAGCTGGGCCCCAGTGCCCTCCTGGAAGTAAGCCAGGCAACTGGCCCTGCCCCAGGCAGGTGGTGGGAAGAGGAAAGGGACAGAACGGCATCTACCAGGACCCAGCCTGTTCCCCTCACGAGAGCTGATTCCCACATGGGACTTGCAGGGCAGTGGGGGTGCCTGTCAGCATGCCAAAAGGAATGCCAACAGTCTCTCTGTGAAGAACTGGGGGTTTAGAAAATACTGTCTCCTCCACTCTGGGTAGCTCTCAACCTGGTCCATGATCCTCTGTGATCATCACATCATCGCTTACAAAGTTCCCAGTGAAATTAAGGCTGGGTCACAATTCTTGACACCAGATGCTACATAGAAAGTAAGTCAAGATACAAAAGAAAACAAATATCTTAGTTGTAAGACTAATTTAAGAGTTTAGCTAATCAGCAGACCACTGAACTGCTACAGTTGTTAGGAGTCGAAAATACCAACTGCACTGGCAAAAGGGTCCATCAACACGAGTACAAAGCGCAGCAGGGACCAGAGGGCGCGGCTTCCTGCCCTGCCTCACACGGTGGTTTCTATCGTTTCGATCACCTCCAGGTCGGACTGCGACGGGGAGAGAAGGGTGCACTCGTCCGGCTCCCAGCTGCTCTCTGGACTGTAGTCTTCCTCTGAGCTCAATTCTGCTCCTTCCTCCGTGTCCTCATCACACGATTCCACGTAGTGAGCCCCGACGGCATTGATCCCAGAGTCCTCAGAACTTGAGGGAGAAGAGCAGTGATCTATTTTTGGTGTATTGCTCTCTTTTGAAATTAAGGCATCGTGTGCAGAGACCTCCTGAGGGCTCATTTTGTGGGAATGTGGTGCCGGCTGCTTCTGCACATAACACATCTTCCCATTAATACACTTAACCTGGTAGTTGTCAATAAAGAGGTCTGAGATCATACAGTACCTTGGTGAGTCAGGCGGGAGGGGAGGCTGGAAGACAGATGCAAATTTCAGAAAGTGTTCAGTGAGAGAGACTGAGATCTGAATGGTGTTCGTGGGCTCCCGGGGCTTCACAGGAATCTCGGTGCTTGGGAGCTGCTCCACGGGGGTCATAGGCTGGTACACGTACTTGCCTGTGGGGAACACAGAAAAGGCCGTCGAAACCTAAGATTACTACACAAACTACAGCAATGCAGCCACGACGGCTTCTTCCCAAGGACTCTGATCTTAAAAATATTTCAATGACATCTCAAAAGAAATTAGTAATAGAGTCACTCCACATTGTTATAATCAATTAAAAATAGACCATGGTACATTACATCATGGTATTTTCATCTAAAAAACTCAACACACTTTACACATCTTATATTTGAGTCCTTATAATGCCTCCGAAATAGGTGGGTGGACACTATAATCTTTATTTTATGTACAGCTTTAAATGATTTACCCCTCATACCAGATAGAATAAAGAATGTCCATGATATAGTATAGTAAAAACACAAGTTGTAAAAAAAGTATAATATACGATAAAATTAAAATTCCACTTTTATATTTAATAATTAGATGTTAATGCATACAAACTGGGAGGATATACACCAATTTGTTATCAGGATTACAGAAGACTCTGAAGTTATGTTTCTGTGTTTTAATCAGAATATACATACATACACATTTAAAAGTGATGGCCTATAGTACTGTGCTGGCCACCCCAATGGCTGGGGTAAGGTATAGGATGTGAAACGAACTCTTTCAAGACGAGTGCTCATCAGTGTCCTAAGTAGGAGATGTTCTCAGTGACACCAACTCCACTGGCACTAAGCAACCTAAGCCCAGTAGAAGCAAAGGAACAGGCTGGCGCAGGGGGCAGGCGACCTGCTGGGTGTTTCTAGGAAACCAAGAAGCCCATCTCCAGATCTTCCCCACTGCTGGAATCCTCCGTGTTTCTCATGGAAGTGAAGCCTAAATAGATCTATTCGTGATGTGTCTTCATCCTTCTCTTTGATTTCATTCAACATTTAGCAAAGTGCTAAGGAGACTAGAGAGAGATGAAAATCATCCAGGCTATGAGTCTAAAATGATTTCAAAATAGAAATCTGGAAGAAAAAAAAACAAAACAGAAAGACCCAGAGACAGTGGCCACAATTATGGGCACCCCCGTGGGTTTTTTCTAATGTGGCTGATTTATCAGTCAGTCCATAGCTCCTGCACATATTTATGAGAGGTTTTATACTCAGCGCTATTGGCATTTTTACTCTGTACGTGGGGGCTATCCAGTGTACCCATGGCCTCTACCCACCAGAGACCAGTAGCACCTCCTCGGCAGGCTTGTGAGTCAAAATATCTCCAGACACTGTCACATGCTCCTGGGAGGCACAGCCCCCTGGGGAGAACCTCTGGTTTGTGACACCCTCATGATGCAGGTGAGTCACTCACTGTGTATGACCCTGCTGCTGCTCCTGTCTGTCTTATTTCTTGGTCAGATTGAAAAGTCTAGATAGGAATCGCATTTAGACCACAAACTACCTTAGATTGCTTAAAGAAGGTAATTAAGCAGGAGAGCAATTACAGATCAGAAATGTGAGCAGCAAACAGCCACAAAACAGTGCAACATCAGTAATATATTAGATCAATCAAGCCTATATTTTTTACTTGTTTCTTAACTTCTGTAAAAAAAAAAAAAAAGTAGGCTTAGATGCCACAAATTCTTTGTAACTAAATTACCTTAACATATATTCAGCCTCATTCTGGAGTCACACATGGAAAAGGTACCTTGAAAATGTTAAGCCTTTCTATTCCCCGGTCACTTCCAAGCCTGGACATATACCATGCAAACCCTATGGGTTGATAAAAATACAAGTGGGAAGAAGCTGCCACACCTGCCTGGGAAGCTATGTTTGAAATAGACCAGGTGCCTTCACTTCTCTATTCCCTGCTTGTCAGGCACAGTTACATCAGGTAAGAGCTAACAGTTGGCATGGTGGGACCTCTGTCTCCAAGTATTACAAACAGGCTCATCAGCTGAAGGGAAAAAAGGGAGACTGCAATCCGCCAGCCCCAGGATTAGAGGACATTTCCAGGCAGGGGACAGAGAAGGGACTTGGAGAACTTGGGGACTACGCCCCTCTGTCCAGAGAGTAGAACAACCGGGAGGAGGTTTGGTCTTTTCTGTTCTTGTGGAACAATGAGTAAGGAGTTCAGGGAGCTGTGGGTGGCAGGCACTTGAGAAATGCTGGTTACAGAACGCCAACTAAGTCCATTCCAGCCCCATGACCTCTGGTTTAGTGACCTACTTGTCACAGCCTTACGAGGTTCCTGGCAATTGATCCCTAGGCCCAGAGGGTCAGGGTTCTATTTAGTCCAAAGACGGAAGCAATTGTGAAGCCTGACTTTGGGACATCTCTAACCACCCTCACCTCATCTCTCTTAAGCCCCCGCCCACCTCCTTTGTGCTTCTTCATAATTAATGTCTTTGCTTTTCTCTTCTTCTTGATTCTTCTACCTCTTTCTTTCTCTAATCCTCTTTCCTCCAAAGCTCTATTTTTCTTCCTTGAAGTGTAGTAAAGAAAGAAGAGCAGCTGGGAGAGGAAAATGAATACTGCATTCCAGACCCATTTCCTTCCACAAGTTACACCTATTGAAGGGGCTTACTCAGAGCTGGGGAGACAGCCTGCTATCTCGTGATATGGGATACAGATGCAAAGAGGAAAGCAGAGAAGAAGAAAATTGGTAAATATGGCCAGATGAGAAACAAAGTTCAGTGAACATCTTTCAAATATTATTCTATAATACTACTAAAGGCCTGGTGCATGGAATCATGCACTGGTGGGATCCCTCGGCCTGACCTGCGGGGATCAGGCTGAAACTGTCTCTCCAACATCCCCTGGGGGTTCCCGAATTGCGAGAGGGCAGTTCTCAGGCTCCCTCCTCTCTGGTTCCGGGTGTGTCACCTGAGAACCACAGCTGCCAAGTCACTGCAGCTCAGCAGCTCCTGTGTTGAGCGTCTGCCCCCTGGTGGTCAATGTGCATCATAGCTACTGGTCAGATGGTCGAGTGGTTGGACGGTCGCTTAGGCTTTTATATATATAGATATTGTTTGATTTGCTTATAAACACCTAAGTAATAAAATAAAACAAATTCATCAAGGATTTAGTTTTGTAAAGAGTTCTGAGGGGTTGGTACATTGCTCTGATCCCCAGCTATTTCTCCCCTCTATACACTATGCTGTGAATCCAAGTTCACAATGATAGCCCTAAAGCATCACAAGATCCTGAATTCCATTATGTCCACTCTACTGTACTTACTAAGAGAATAAAAGGAACTAACACACTTTGACAATAGCAAGGATTGAAACAAAAGGGTTTCTGGATACCTAGCCAGGAAATTAAATAACTGCTATACTCTATTCTCTAAACAATCTTCTTAACTGAGAACTTACTACATAATTTAAAGCAACAGATGTATGAGAACTTTTAAAACTTAAATGTCTAAATGGAAAAGATACTGAGAGAGTCAGGGCTTAAAGAGCAAAGCAGAGGTAGAATAAAAGGAGGATTTAGATACAATATGATCCATCAATTCCACTTCTGGGAATAAGCCCAAAAGAACTGAAGCGGGGTCCAGAAAGATACGTGTATACCATGTTCACAGCCATGTTATTCACAAAAGCCAAAAGGTGGAAGCAACTCAAGTGTCCATGATGAATGGATAAACAAGATGTGGTATATACATACAATGAAATATTATTGAGCCTTAAAGCATAAGAGATCCATACTACAACACTGATGAACCTTGAGGACATTACGCTAAGTGAAAAAAGCCAGTCACAAAAAGACAAATACTGTATGATTCCACTTATAGGAGGCACCTAGAGTAATCAAACTCATAGAATAGAATGGTGTCTGCCAGGGGCTGGGGGTAAGAGGGAAAGGGGAGTTCTTGATGAAAGGGTGCTGAGCTTCAGTTCTGCAGGAGGAAGAGTTCTGGCGATGGACGGTGATGATAGTAGCACAACAATATGAGTGTAGTTAATACCACTGAACTATACACTGAAAAATTATTTTGATGGTAAATTTTATGTTATGTGTATTTTACCACAATTTTTTAAATTAAAAAATTAGTTAGTATAATTTACTATATTAACAGACTGGAAGGAAAACTCCATATGCTCCAGAATATACAGGGTGAGGAGAAAGTAGGTTTACAGTTGTAAGTACATGAAAAAGTTTATTCTTGTATTATTTATTAATTATTGTATTATTTTCCAAACAACTATAAACCTACTTTTGCCCCACATTGTATAAAGAATTCTTATAACTCAGTAACAAACAAACACAATTTTTTAAAAAAGGGGGTGTGTCTATACAAGGGCAACCTGAGGGACCCTGTAGTGATGGAAATGTTCTATGACTGGACTGTGTCACTGTCAGTATCTTGGTTATGATACTGTACTATTATTTTGCAACTATAGTTGCCTTTGGATAGTTATCTGAAGAAAACAGAAACAATAACTCAAGAGAATATATGCTCATTGTAGCATCATTTACAATAACCAGGAAGTGGAAACAACCTAGATGCCCATCTATGAATGAATGGATGAAGAAAATGTAATGTATGTACCCAATGGAATATTATTCAACCATAAAAAAGAATGAACTATTGCCATCTGGGACATGGGTGGATCTTGAAGCATTATGCTAAGTGAAATAATTCAGACAGAAAGATACCATATGCTCTCACTTATATGTGGAATCTAAAAAAACAACAAGCTCATAGATACAGAAAACAGATTGGTGATTGTTAGAGCTAGAGGGTGGGGCGTGGATGGAATGGGTGAAGGAAGTCAAAAGGCACAAACTCCCACTTATAAAATAAAGTCATGGAATGGAATGTACAGCATGGCAAATGTAGTTAATATTGTACTGCATATTTAAAAACTGCTAAGAGACTAAATCTTAAAAGTCCTCATCACAAGAAAAAATCTGAAACTATGTATGGAGACAAATGTTAACTAGAATTATTATGGTCATCACTCTGCAATACATACAAATACCAAATCATTATGTTGTACACCTCAAACTAATATAATGTGGTATGTCCATTATACTGCAATTAAAAACCTGTTTTTTAAATAAAA